CTATGTAGTATGTAGTTTAGACTGACCTGGAACTCACTGCATAGCACAGACTGGTCTCAAACTCACAGCGATCCTCCTGCCTCAGCCTCCTGAGTACTGGGATTACAGGTGTGTGCCACCACGGCCGGCTCCCTTTGCACTTTAAACAGCCTTTTGGGCTGCTTATATATACTCAACATTTTTTTACATAACATTTAGAATTAATTTAATATTATTATTTTGCCAGGACACTTTATTAAAAAGTTGTATTTACAAATAGCTTGTTATTTAAAATTTATTTGAATTTTTTCTTCTAGCAGTTAAAAGTAATATTTAGAATTTATAACATATTGGCTTTTTTTTTTTTTTTTTTTTTTTGCTACCAGGGATCAAACTTGGAAGCTTGCACTTTCAAGGCAGGCAGAGGAACCACTGAGCTAAATCCCCAGCCCCGCCCCCACTTTTTTTTTTTTAAAGCAAGGTCTCACCATGTAGTTCAGACTGGCCTTGAACTCACTGTGTAGCCCCAGCTGGCCTAAACTCATGGCAATCCTCCTGCTTCAGCCTCCCAGAGTGCTTGGAATTACAGGTGTGTGCCACCATGCCTGGCTAGCCTCCTATATAAGAAGAGAATAAAAAAACGGATACTCACATTTTAATTCTCAATGGTACTATCAAGATATATTTCAGTCACAAATTTTATTTTACAAATATGGCCTTGTGCATGCTCACCACATACCCCATCACTGAGCTGCACTCCTAAACCTCATACATACAGGGTTTTTTTGGTACCGGGGATTGAACTTGGGTCCTTGCTCTTGTGAGGCAGGCAGTGACACCACTGAACTAAATCCCCAGCCCTATACAGTTTTTACATAAGCTAATACAGCTATTCTAAATCTATTAAGTTTCTTCATGACTTCCTCTTACTATGTGATGTAATGTTCAAGTTTTTTAACAAGTTATGTCACTTTGCTGCAATGGTTACTACATAAATAAAACATAATATGCATGCAACAAATGTTAACTAATCTAATTTATCAAACAAATTTGCTCAGACCGCGCGTGGTGGCTCATGCTTGTAATCCCAGCACTCGGGAGGCTGAGGCAGGAGGATCATTGTGAGTTCGAGACCAGCCTGGGCTACATAGTGAGTTCCAGGTCAGTCTCAACTACATAGTGAGACCCTGCCAAAAAAAAAAAAAAAAAAAAAAAAAAAAAAAAAAAAAAAAAAAAAAAAAAAAAAAAAAAAACCGAAAAAAAAACAAAGAAAACATCTGGATGAGGGCTGGGGATTTAGCTCAGTGGTTCGGCATCTGCCTCACAAGCACAAGGTCCCGAGTTGGATTCCCAGTACCAAAAAAAAATCTGGATAAGAATTACTGCACAAAAACATGTACAGAAATAACTAACTGTGTTAATGAGGAAGCATAAATTAAAACAACTTGGCAAAAAAGTTTACAACATTGTTGAGGATACAGTGATTAGAAGAATTTTTTTTTAACTAGAAGAATTTTAACAAGCATGAGGCTAGAAATACGATATATGTTCAGTACTATTAAAAATAATATCCTTTGAACTAGTAAAACAATTCTTCAGAATCTTTTAAAAAGTAAAGTAAAGGTGATTTAGCTCAGCGATGCCACACCTGCCTGGCAAGCACAAAGTTCTGGATTCAATTCCTGGTATTGAAAAGAAAAGTAAACAAAGGCCCAGTGATGTAACTCAGTGGTGCCGGCAAGTACAAGGTCCTGCGTTCAATTCCTGGTACCAGAAAAAATTTTGAAAAAGCAAAGCCAAAAGAGACATGAAAGGAGAAGAACATCTACTGCCTGTTCTACAGTAGCAAAGGAAACTGAACCTAGATATTCAGTAACAGAGGAAATGGCTAGGTTAATTATGGCACTACTGAAATTTAAATTATGATCATGAAAGCAATCAATCCATACAGAAAAATTTTGTCATTAAGTAAAAAGGAGATACAAAATCACAAGCATACCGTGATTAGAAATCTTTATAAGTACGCATATAATCTGAGACTTCTAGAAAAAATGAAAACTTCTGAACTGAGATCATGCCTGACTTCTTTTTAAAGTTTAACTGCCATAAATTATAAAATATTATAGTAAAACTAACGGTATTTCAGTTAGGGAAGTCTTTTCTTTCTCTGCTACTACCCTTTGCAGACTCTCTGACCTTACCTTTCCTTTGCGAGCACAGCAAGTCCCTGTAACAAGATAGGCACAACTGTCTGATCCAGGTAGGCACGAGTTGGCAAAGACTGCAGATCCACCTTCTGTTTGGATGACTTTTCTGCATTAATCTTCTCATTTTCTACTATCCTCTAGTGAATTCAAAAAACAATCCATGAATATTCTGAATAACTACATTATTTTGAGTGTTAAACAGAATGATTGATATTGACAGAACAATGACAAGAATAAGCAAATCAATGACTAGAAAATGCAAACATCTCTGCCAAAAGAAATTCAGACCTATCTCTAAATTTCATTTAAGCCTCTTCTCTTCAAAGACATGCTATCTTTAAATGTTGTATCTCTAAATTCTAGTGTCTCCCATTTCTTCTCCCTTTTAGGAGTAAATACAGCCCATTTTCTTTTTTTAATGAGAATACTGTCTTACAGTGCTTTCCAGAACAATGGACATGACATTAACTAGCACTAAAAAAACAAGAAAGATAGCTCTCTTCCAATTCTTTTATTATAGATAATATCAAGAACAAAGTCTCTGGTGTTAGTATGTCTTTCATATTTCTGCAGCACTTGCTAAACTCTTTTTTATTTTATTTTTCTCAACACTGAAGATGAAACTCACAGGCACTCTATCACTGAGCTACAGCCCCAGCATTGTTTCTTCTATCTGTTTTTGAGACAGTGTTTCACTAGGTAGTGCAGGCAGACCTTGAACTCACTCCATAGCCCAGGCAGGCCTGGAATTCTTGACCCTCCTTCGTTAACCTCCCAAATGTTGGGATTATAGGCTTGTGCCACCTGTTCAGGCTAAACTTTTTTTTTTTTTTAATGGCACTAGAGATTGAGCCTAGGCCCTTGCTCTGAGCCCCTTCCCCAACGCTTTTTATTTTCTCGATTTTGAAACAGTGTCTCACTAAATTGCCCAGACTAGGCTGAACCATATGCACCTCCTGCCTCAGTCTCTCAGTGTTGGGATTGCAAGTGTTCCCCACTACAATTGGTTTAAAATTCCTTATTAACAGAGAAGAAAAACTGTGGCCTCACAGGCATATGCTGTCAGAAGTAGCTAATACTCATTATCATTGTTTCTATTTTATGGTTACTCTGTATAACAATGAGAATGCTTTTCCACTTGTTTCTTTTTCAAATACATCCAAGAAAGAAAAAAAAAAGAAAAGAAATACATCCATGATTTTTAAAAGTGAATAGGCCTTGGGGCTGGGGATTTAGCTCAGTGATTCTGCCCCCTGCATCACAAGGACCTGAGTTCGATCCCTGGTACCAAAAAAAAAAAAAAAGGCAACTACAAGTTTGAGCCCAGCCTGAGCAATTTAGTAACTCGGTGAGACCCTGTCACAAAATTTAAAAGTAAAAAAAAAAAAAAGGGCTAAAGATGTAGCTCTTTACAAAGGCTCTAGATTCAATCCCCAGGACCACAGAGAATAACCACAACAGGTCAGAGATTTAGCTCAGTGACACCACACCCGACTCTCAAGCACAAGGTCCTGAGTTCAATCTCCATACTGCCCCCCCAAAAAGAACTACAACAAAAAAAGTAGCCAGGGCCGGGGATTTAGTGCAGTGGTTCCGAGGCCTGCCTTCCAAGAACAAGGACCCAAGTTCGATCCCCAGTGCACACCTGTAATCCCAGCACTCAGGAGGCTAAGGCAGGAGGATCTCGCTGTGAGTTCAAGACCAGCCTGGGCTACACAGTGAGTTCCAGGTCAGTCTCAACTACATAGTCAGACCCTGTCTCAAAACATCAAAGAAACAAACAAATAAAAGACACAATTGTATGTGCCTTTTTTTATGTTGAGACAAGATCTCACTAAATTGCCCAGGCTAGACTTCAACTTGCAATCCTCCTGCCTCAGCCTCCCAAGTAGCTAGCGTTACAGGCATATGCTACCGTGTAGGGCTCAAAACAGTATTCCTTTTTCATTTGTTTGGTGGTTGGTTTTTGGTTTTTTTTTGGTGGGGGTTAGATAGAATCTCACTAGGGAATAGCCCAGGCTGGCCTCAAACTTGATGATCCTCCTGCTTCAGCCTCCTGAGTGCTGGGAATACAGGAATGTGCCACCATGCCCAGCTTCAATCAGTACTTTTAAGAATACCTCCATTCAATCACATTCAAATAGGATATAAAAGAGTCAACAAAGGAAAAAGTATTTTTCTAGATCTAACTTTATTTTGTAAAAGTAGAAGAAAAAATTTTATTATATCCACAACAAATATACCAAGGTTTCCAAAGACAACATTACAGCCTGGTACAGCAGTATATGCTTGTTTAGCCACCAAGTTCTGAGTTCAAGTCCAGACTGAGCTACACAGCGAATTCAAAGCCAACCTAAACTACACAGCAAGACTCTGTCTCAAAGAACCAAAACAAAAAACAAAAGCACACAAAAAAGAAAGAGAAAGATCTCATAATTATACCACACAATTTCTCTTATGATTCTTTTAAGCTAAATTTGGAACCTGATCATATTTTCTTTTCTTTTCTTTTCTTTTTTTTTTTTTTTAATGGTACCAGGGATCGAACTTCAGACCTTGTGCTTCTGACATAGGCAGTGGAACCAATGAGCTACATCCCTGGCCCTAACCAGGCATGGTGGTGCACGCCTGGAATCCCAGCCCTTGGGAGGCTGAGGCAGGAGGATCACTGTGAGTTTGAGACCAGCCTGGGCTACGTAGTGAGTTCCAGGTCAGTCTCAACTGCATAGTGAGACCCTGTCTCAATCAATCAATCAATCAATCCCTGGCCCTGTCTTTTCAATTAATCTATAAAATAGCTATTTAGGGCCCGGAATTTAGCTCAGTGCTTCTGCCGTCTGCCTCGCAAGCACAAGGACCCAAGTTCAATCACTGGCACCAAATAAATAAATAAATAAAATAGCTATTTAGCCGTGGATTGAAAAATGTATTGTTCACCAATAAATCTCAACAGAAAATACCCAAGGCATTCCATGATTTCTGAAAATTCTAATTGAGCCTTTGTTAAAATTTCTTTCTATTGCAGAAAATATTATAGAATTTGGTCTTTCTGAAAACTGACATTACTGCTTTGAGTGAGTTTTCTTCCATTTTGAACCAAAATCTACCACGTTCAAAATTTCAGCTTATTCATAATACATAAATAAAATGAGGCAACTACCAAACGTTAGAGTATATTTTAAAACAGTTCTAACTTCCTGCCACAGAATTTGTGTAAAAGGAAAACTAGAGTTTCCTGAAATTACAATGCTTCCAATAAGAAACAGCAATGCCTAAGAAATAATAGCTCCTTTAATAAATTATTTAACTAAATCCTCTCATTTATTTCATTCAAACATTACCTAATATTGCTAAGCATGGTTGCAGTATTAGAATTAATTTATTTGAAGACAGATGTGTCCTTTTAAAAAGCCAGGCATGGTGGTGCACACCTATAATCCCAGGAATTAGGAGGCTGAGGCAGGAGGACTGCCACAAATTTGATGCCAGCTGAGCTACCTGCTAAGTTTAAGGCCAGCCTGGACTACAGAGTGAGACCTGAAATCCCTACATTATACAGTAACCACAAAAGGAGGAGAGGACTGTCATGAGTCCTATTATTGCTCCAGTTCACTGTGTCCTATCTAAAGAACTTACAGGACTCTGACAGGAAACTTGAGCTTAGCCTAATTAGACCCTGCATTGAGAAGACAAAGCTGAACACTCTGGGCAATCAAGATAATTAGAATTTGCAGTGCAGAGCAGTAGAAAGGAGAATGCTGCATGAAGAGAAGAATCACACAGAAAGAAACTGCGTTCCAGTCTTCAGGTGAATATAACCTCCCCCGAGACCAGGAAAAGAACCACTCGGAAGGAGCAGGAGGAACAATCACAGAGCTCACACAAGCTGGAAATCGTTTTCCTGAGTATACGCTGGAGTGGGAAAACCTCAAATATATGGAACGTTGGGCAAATACTTAAAAGGAAGAAACTAGGCTTAAACTAAAGGATGATCAGGCACCACTAACAACAGTTAAAGCAAGCGTTAAAAGGATCAAATTGTTTTGAAGAAACTGTCCCAGAACAAAATTTAAGAATGTGTGAAGAAATACAGAAGTGTCTAACAGATGTATGGCACAGTGGTAGAGCATGTGAATGAATAGCAGGCACCAGGCCCTGGGTTCAAGTCCCAAAAACACCCCCCCAAAAAATAATCAAAAATAATAATCAAAAGTACTTAAAAAGTATGATAAAACTAGGCGGTGGTGGTACACTGGTACATGTTTGTAATCCCAACTATTCAGGAGTCTGTCACAGTAGGAGACCTTGTCTGCCTGTCTATGCCTCTCTTTCCCTCTCTCTCCGCATGTATATGCAAATACATACGTATGTACATAGATACGTAAATGAATGGGTCTGAGGATGCACCTCGATGATGATAAAGCACTTGCTTAGCATGCACAAGGTCCTTGGTTCAATCCTGGTATGGCAGGAAAGAAGAGAATGGGGGAAGGGGGAGGGGAGAGGAGGGAAGGGACTTACAATAAAAAGAAAATCTTAGAGGCACCAAGAGAAAAGATTCCCCTGTCACCCTGCAGAGTTCTGGGACTGTAAGCATGTGCCACCACATCCAGCACAAGAAATCTTGAATTCCTTCAAGCAGATAACTAGAGGAAGTGTAGATTGGCACAAAAGAATCTAAGACTCTAGATCCATACAAAAAAATAACCCCAGAAATAGTATAAAAGAAAAATTCTCCTCTTTCTTATTGTTTGATCCTCTTGCCTCAGCCTCAAAAGTAAGTGCTAGGATTACAGGTGTGCACCACCACACCTAGCTAAGACAACTGACTTTTTAAGGAAAAAATAAAAATTATGATGTAATAAATGCAAAAGTAAAATACATACTAAATAGAAAAGTTCAAGAAAGGATAAAAAGGAAGAATATTGTTATCTAGCAAGAATATTGCTATAAGATACAGATGTTTGCCAGGCATGGTGGCGCATGCCTTTAATCCCAGCATTCAGGAGGCTGAGGCAGGAGAATCACTGTGAGTTCGAGACCAGCCTGAGCTACCTAGTGAGTTCCAGGTCAGTCTCAACTACATAGTGAGACTCTGTCTCAAAAAAATAAAGGAAAAAGAAAAAGAAATGGGAGGCGGTTAGCTCAGTGGGGCTGCACCTTCCATGCAAGCACAAGGTTCTGAATTCCACCCCACAGGTGTTTGTGTGTGTAAAATAGTAAGATGAACGAAAAAACTAACATGGAGTTGTTAACTATTTTTGACCAACTAAAAACTCACCAAAAAAACATAATTACTATTTTACTATCACTATTAATTCATTAAGGGGGAGTTGGGAGGCTGAGGCAAGAGGATCACAAGTTTAAGACCAATCTAGACAACTGAGAAAGTTAGTAAGATCCTCACTCAAAATAAAATCAAAAGAGGGCTGGGAATTTAGATCAGGGCAAAGGTCCTAAATTCAATCTCCAATATAATATTTTTTTAAAAATTAAGAAGCATAACTAATCACCAAAGAACATACCAAGCACTTTACCTTCTTCTTTTTTTTTTGAGACAGGTTCTCACTGTGTAGTTGAGACTGACCTGGAACTCACTATGTAGCCCAGGTTGGTCTCCAACTCACAGCAATCCTCCTGCCTCTGCCTCCCAAGTGCTGCATTTACAAGCGTGCATCACCATGCCCAGTCCTACTTTCATTTTTTTCTCCAAGTACGAAGAAGATCTTGTGATTTGGTATACAGCATCTGGTATCACATTTGGCTTTGTAAGCACAGGCACCATGAACACTGTGCTGATGCCTAAAAAGAAGTCCAAGTAACTACAACACAAAGTATATTCACTCGCCTGACTCAGCTTAGTAATTCAATTACAAGAATACTATGAAAATAATGGATTTTCTCCTTAATACTGGAATCAAACTGGTAAACACAGCTAGCAATTCTATAGGCAAAAAAACAGTCATACCAGTGAACTCTAGGAATTCATCAATATTAGCAATACAGGGATAGGGATGTACCTCCATGGCAAAAGTGCTTTTCCACTAGTATGCATTAGGCCCAAGGCTTGATACCCAGCACCACATCCACACACAAAGATTAGCAATACAGTTTAAACCTTTTGCAAAAAACTCAACCTGCCTAGGTTGAAAACAGTTCTCCACTTATTTCCCCGTGACCCTGGACAAGTTACTCAACTTCTTCAAGCCTCATGGGACTGAAAATATATGCAGATTGCTAGAGTGTGTGTGTCAAGACACACAGCAGCCAGGCGTGGTGGCACAGGCCTGTAAGCCCAGCCCTTGGGAGGCTGAGGCAGGAGGATCACTGCAAGTTTGAGACCAGCCTGGGCTACATAGTGAGTTCCAGGTCAGTCTCAACTACATAGTGAGACCCTGTCTCAAAAAAACAAAACAAAACAAAACAAAAGACACTGCAAATGAGATGAAGAGATATAATGTCCATTACCATTATAAATCTGTTTGGAAATACTCCTGTCTTCATTTGTCCAAATGTAATCATTTATGTATCTTTTTTAAAAAATAAAAAACATATATCCTAGCTAGGAGTGGTGGTGCACACCTGTAATCCCAGCACTCAGGAGGCTGAGGCAGGAGGATCATTGTGAGTTCGAGACCAGCCTGGGCTACATAGTGAGTTCCAGGTCCGTCTCAACTACACAGTGAGACCCTGTCTCAAACACTCAAACACACACACACACACACACACACACACACACACACACAAACAAACATATATCTTTGCAAAGCCTATAAAGTATTTTTTTAAACCATCCCATCTAGTTGTGGTTAATTCACTGCTCCAGTAGTTATTCATTCGATTACAAAGTACCTCTGTTAGACAAGTATTAGTATCGCTAGTAAAACAAGCTACCTTTAATTTGATACCATTGAGCTCATGATAACAAAGCTTTCTCCGACGCAAAGTAATCTAGTAGAAAAGAATCCCACATTTTCTCCAGCCCTCACGAAATGGCATAGAAATCGGGCAAGTAGCCGGGCAAGGTGGCGCACACCTGAAATCCCAGCACTCGGGAGACGCAGGCAGCATGAGTTCAAGGCCAGCCTAGACCACACAGTGAGTTTAAGGCCACCCTGAACTACATGTGAGACCTTGTCTCAAAACAAAGAAATTGGGCGAGTTACCTCAACGTTGTCTGTCAAACCGTACTCAGAGTGAGGATTCTCCGCAACCTAGGAAAAAACAAAACAAAACACGAGTCACACAGCTCTCAGCCCGTCTCTCGCAGCCTCTCCGTCCACCGCCACCCTAAATTCAGGGCCTCCTGGTACCTGTGTCTGACCCTCCAGCATCTGCTCTGGTTCCATGGTGGACCCTGAAAATCAGTCCCGGGATACCAGTCTTGAAAAACAAGAAGAGCCACAAGTTACCCGGGAGATTTCAACAGGAAGACGCCAGGATGGAGGCCAGCCCTGCCTCGACCCCGCCCCTCACCCCCACCTGGGCGGGAGCACCCGACGCAGCCGAGTATGATGGGACAGTAAATGACTGGGCGCCCCCAACTGGTCAAGAAGCTGTGCGGGGGTCCGACGGACCTAACATAACTGGGAAAAGGAGGGAAGGTTGTAGATTTATTACCCGCGCCCAAGCCGTCCGTTCCTGAGAGCCCGGCACAGCGACACCAACTCCCAGCACTAACCGCTCCGGCCGTAAGTGACGGATGTCGCACGGCTGTCGCGCCTGCGCAGAACTTCTCAGCGGGCCCTGAACGGTAGGCGCGGGCCCCGGAGTCCCAGTCTGTGAGCGTCTGAGCGGTCTTGCGTGTGTCCTGGCCAAGGTCTGGCCCCAGAGGCTGCGACCCAGGGCGTGCGCCTCCCCACTGCTGGAGACTAAGGGACGTACCAGCCCTCGAGGGTTCGGACAGGCCAGTCCTCGGTGGTGCCTGGGAGCGTCGGCCCCGGAGCAATTGACACCGTTACTCTCTGGACGATTCTTACCAGCTGAATCCAGATCCAGGCTGGGTCCAAGCTGAAGGATCTATTACGGAATGTCAATGTTTTTGTTTCATTTAAAGTCAAAGGCGGCGCGGATGCCGGAAAGCCCAGCACTCGGGGGAGGCTGAGGCAGGAGAAGGTGCAAGACCAGCCTGTACTACCTAGTTGAGACACTGTCTCAAAAAATACAAAAATAAATAAAGTCAAAGGCAGGGGAAGAAGCTGTGTTGGGGGCTTCCCTAGTCAGTTGTTATTCAAGCTCTTAAACTGTGAAAATGAAGTTGCTAATGCTTCCTTCACATTAGCAATCTGAAACCTGGCTTTCAAAGCTGTGCTACTACAGACTCTGTTGTATATATGAAAAATATATATGTAAAAGATAAAAGGGCCCCTACACATAATATAGTACTGGGGATCGAACTCGGGACCTTCCGAAGCAGGCGAGGGAACCACTGAGCTAAATCCCCAGCAGTAAGTAGCAAACATGATCAAGTAAATTGGATTGTTTTAAATCCAGTACCATTTAAGGTACATATAAGTGATACTAACTTCCTGTCTTTGAATCACTTGTTTGTTCTTGCACTTTGTAGTATGAAAATTTGAAAACCTCCAGTTAAATATTTTCGGACTAGATTGTGACATATTAGCCAGGTGTGCTTGCGCGTTCTTGTACTCCCAGCACTTCGGAGGCAGAGGCTGAGTTCCAGGCCAGCCTGGGCTACATAACGCGTTAAGGACAGCCTGAACTGCCTAGCAAGACCCTGTCTCAATCAATCCATCAATCAGTAAATGTGGTATGCTGCTAAGATGGAATACAAGCTATGAAAACTGAAAATCGTGACTACATATAGGAGAGTACTTCTAACCGTGTTTCCCATCGGCGTCCTCTTGCCTCATGTTGGAGACTGAATTTAACAGAGGTGCTCTACTGCTGTGCTGCTACCTAGCTATTTTCATTTTTTATTTTGAAACAAAAAAATTTTGTTTTTGCAAAAAGAAAAAAAAAAAGATTTCGCTAAATTGCCCGGGCAAGCCTGAAGATTGTGATTCTTTTGCCTCAGCTTTCCAAATAACTGGGATTACAGGCCTGCACCACCAAGCCCAGATATATGTCTGTCTGTCTCTATGCACACACACACACACACACGCACACACACACACACACACACACGTCAATCATATCGCTGGTACCAAGTGTTTATGTGACTTACATAAAGGATACAATGCAGCCAGTTAGGGAAAAAGACAGACTTGACAGGAAAGTGAACTTTACCATTTATCACTATTCTTATTTCCACCAAAATTGATGACCTAAATTGTTGATCTTACGTGATTAACATGAGGTGAAAATTACACCTATCTAGATTAAGTATTTTTTAAAAAGTAGACCACAAGCCAGATATATTGACAGAGGTCTATAATCCCAGCCATGTGGAGACTGCGGCAGGAAAACCACCAGGTTCAGGGCAGGCTGGGCAACTTAGTGAGAGCATGTACCACTTCATTTTGCTACTCTGGGCCAGGCGTGGTGGTGCACGCCTGTAATTCCAGCTCTCAGGAGGCTGAGGCAGGAGGATCGCTGTGAGTTCGAGACCATCCTGGACTACTTAGTGAGTTCCAGGTCAGTCTCAACTACATAGTGAGACCCTGCCTCAATCAATCAATCAATCAATCAATCCCTGTCTCAAAAAGACAAAACAGAACAAAAGAAACATTTTGCTACTCTGTAAAAATCACATGGACAAAGTAAAAAAAATTTGTTCAGAAGCTAAACTTGTGGGTACATTTTTGTTATAATGTATATTTTATAATCAGTACTGTGATTGGTAACAGCTACCACATAGCACGGAGGGTTTTTTGCAGGTTAAGATGGGAACAAAGATGTGGATGACTATGAACAGGATACATAAATTGATTAGTACATAGATTAATGCTACTGGAGATTAAATACTTTTCAAAAGTGGGGAACCGGGCCAGGGATTTAGCTCAGTGGTGCCGCCACCTGCCTCACAAGCACAAGGACCCGAGTCTGATTCCCAGTACCCCCCAAAAAGCGGGGTGGAATAAAAGCAACTATAACCATCGAATCATTTGAGAAAATTTTAGAACAGTTATGTGCACTATCATGGTATTGTATGTCTACACATTTCCCCATGTTACTACAAAATATAATTCCAAATTCTAGGAAGTAACTGAAAGCTGTTACATTTTCTGAGGAATAACAGTTTAAAGTTGGAAGCTAGACTGTAAGCTACTTCAGAGCAGGAATCATGTCTTAGATTTTTTTTGGTTGTTTGAGACCAGTTTCACTATGTAGTTCAGGCTGTCCTTGAACTCACTGTGTAGCCCAGGCTAGCTTCAAACTTGTGATCCATCTGCCTGAGCCTCCTAAGTGCTGGGATTATAGGTGTGCACCACCACTCTCGGCAATGTCTTACATATTTTGTATTTCTTATTGAGCCTGTTATATCATAGGTGCATAATATGTAATTAAGTTGAATTATTCCATGGTCAAGAGTTGATATTTATATATGGACACCAGTGAAACAAAATATAAAGATGTTTATTGAAAGGAGCAACACAAAATAATTTTCAGCCAGATTTCTCTCAGTCTTTGAATGTGATTTAAAACTTATTGATAGAATCGCTTAGAAGGCATAGCAGCAGAAGTGAGTTTTTTAAAGGGGCAGATTGAGGGCTGAGACATAGCTCAGGTAAAGTGCTCCCATGTGTAGCATGCTTGAGGCCCTGGGTTTGAGCCCCAGTACTGGGGAGAAAAAAATATTTAAATGATGTAAACAAATTCACAGGAGTATTTTGACTTTCTAGTGCTCCCTATTCGTGGAGCAGTTATCTATAGTCTCTCTCCTCCCCCTTTTCTCCACCTTCAAATAAACTATCTTCTCTCTTTTTGGTACCAGAGATCGAACTCAGGACCTTGACCTGAGGGAGGCAGCGGAACCACTGAGCTAAATCCGTGGCCCATAAATCGTCTTCTCTTAAAAAAAAAAAACAGGGGCCAAGGACTTGGCTCAGCAGTACTGCACTTACCTCACAAGTGCAAAGTCCCCTGGTACCAAAAAATAAATCAATCTTTAAAAATAAAATAAAAAAACAAAAACAAATTAAGAAATAAATAGTAAATGTAAAGTTAACTGAAGATACTGCCAGGAACTAAATTTTACAGTACTAGTGATTGAACCAAGAGCCTTCCCACTGAGCTACATCCCCAGCACTCCTTTTCTGGGAGCAGGGAATGGGGACAAAGTCTTGTTTCCCAAACTATGCTCAAATTTGCAATGCTCCTCAGTCCCCCAGACTGCTGAAATCGCAGGCATGTGCACCGTCCCCGAGCAAGGACTGAATTTTGGTGTGAAAGTAAAGCTTCTGGATGGGTGACTCTGGGAGCCACGATTAAGACAAATTTGCAGTTATGTGTACTATCCAGAGAGCAGTACATTGAAACACTAAGAAGGGCTCTTAACGTTTATACTTGTGGTACCACTTCGTTCTGGACTCCTCCCGGGTTTCCTATTGTCTGTGATAGTTAACTGTGGTGCTCACTTGAAGAAACGCCCAGCAGATCCATTTAGCAGGGTTCTGGCTGTGTCCAGTTGATTGATTGATTGAAGAGGGAAGCCTCACCCTGGATGTGGGTGGCACCGAACAGTAGGTTCCTAGCCTGGATGGAGTAGAAAGGAAAGAAGGAAGTCCCTCTCCTGCTTCTTCAGAGGAGTCTGCTCTTCACCTTCACCTTTGGATGTCTGTCTCCAGCCTTCCAACACAGACCCTCCAGTTTCACAGTGGGGACTCGTATTGGACTCTGCGGTGAGTGCCAGGCCTTCAGCTTTTCACTGGCTCCTTTGCCACACCAAGTGAGAAGACGTCCTTCTGCATATTTCACCCCGACTGCAGGTGGCCTTCGGAAGCATTCCTTATAAATCCCTTATGTATCATACCGGTCGTGCTATGGTACTTCCCTCATTTGGCCTTACAATTTGTTTATGATTAAACACAGATTTTGAGTTTTTCAAAGGCAGAGACTTTATTATACTCATCTTTGTATTTCTTTGTAACTCTTTTATTGAATGTTTTTTTAAAAGATGTGAATGTATACAGAAAACAAACACTTGCACCAAAATGCTACTTTCTGTACTTAAGGCTTTCTTGGGCTGGAGGTTTAGCTCAGTGGTGCCAGGAGCTGCCTGGCAAGTGCAAGGACCTGAGTTCAATTCCTGGTTCTTAAAAAAAAAAAAAAAAAAATAGACCTTCTTAGAGGTTTACGGAGATTATAGCTACACATTCTAGAGCTAGAATTCTGTATAATAAAGACAAATTAGTATGCTTAACCTCGTTTTCACAGACAAGGCAGATTGCATGGATAACTTACTCAGCAGGCACTACCTACTTGCATATAATACAATATATGCAGTAAAGAAACACTTTATTTGGAATTCAATTAATTTTTGTTCTTCTTGTTGTTTTTGTTTTTTGAGACAGGGTCTCACTGTGTAGTTGAGACTGACCCGGAACTCACTATGTAGCCCAGGCTGGTCTCGAACTCACAGAGATCCTCCTGCCTCAGACTCCAGGGTGCTGGGATTAAAATGCATGTGCCACCACGCCCAGACTGGAATTCGATTAATATTAAAGTATGATTCACAGGGAGTGGAGGAGTGTGTGTATTAGTTGTACAGTGTCAGATAAAGAAAAACACTTTCTTAATT